AGAAGTTTTAAAAATGTTCTTCATTGGTACTAACTATATCCTCCCCCTTGCAGATTTTTTTCTGTTTTATTGTTTTGTTTTGTTTTGTGTTTTTGAGAACGGAGTCTCAATCTCTTGCCCAGGCTGGAGTGCAATGGCATGATCTTGGCTCAATGCAACCTCTGTCTCCCAAGTTCAAATGATTCTCCTGTCCCAGCCTCCCAAGTAGCTGTGATTACAGGCATGCACCACCATGCCCAGTTAATTTTGTATTTTTAGTAGGGACAGGGTTTCACCATTTTGGTCAGGCTGGTCTCGAACTCCTGACCTCAGGTGATCCACCTGCCTCAGACTCCCAAAGTGCTGGGATTGCAGGCATGAGCCACCACGCCTGGCCAGATTTTTTCTTATGATTTCTACATGACTAACATAATAAATCATAGAGACATCTTCACCATTCTTCAATTATTCTTCTATTATACTCATTCACTTTAGATGATAGTATATAAAAGAGGCCATAATTCCAACAATTCATTATAGTGCTTTGGTAAGATTATCCTTAAACTGCACATCTTACTTGACCTCTGTGAGGCACTTAACTCCATTACACTGTAAGGAAACAGACATTTATTGGCAATTGTATTCTATTTGGCCCATCAATAGATTTGACTTCTAAATAAATACACCTAGTATGGGGAGATACATACATAGAAACACACACGAAAGGGATCCTAGGTTCTTAAGGGAAAAACTATTTATAAAGATGTAATTGTTTACCCATTTAGTTGTCCCTTTCTTTCACCTGTGGGCTGAACTGCCATCATTAGACACAATGGTGTTCCTCTTTGCTATGAGTCACTTTCCTTTTCATCTCTTCATGTCTTTTTGTTAGTTTGTTTTAGATTTATGTCTACCGCCTCTTATTCATTGCTTCTTGATTAGTCCTTGCAAATATTTTTCTTTCACAAAGAGAAACAGTCTTTACTACTGTAGGCCAGTCAAATTATTTTGCTTGAGGTCATTGGTATTCACTTTCTAAGGCTCACACGTTCTACATGTCGGGGGTAGACATTCCTTCTTCACTACATTGTTAGCAAGTTCTAGGTATTAAGATATTTTGGATGCCTGAGCATTCTAGAAAGGTCAGCACCACATAGCCAGTGTCTTAAGGTTCTTAATATATATTTGCATCTAAACATCTTTTTAATGTATTCCATGTTTCATATTTGGAGTCTTAAATTAAAGTTCTAACATCAACAACTACTTAATCCTGTGTCTGAAAGATGATCTATGTGAGATAGCATCACTACACAAATTATACCACTAACTGCTGCTAAAGTTGACAGCAAACTAAGATTCCACAGAATCCCATTTGCTTTGTAACATAAAAAATATTATAAAGTGCCTTTCCTTTAAACAAAAATGTGTTCATATTCTCAAATTATACTTTATATGCATATTTATTATTAATTTATTGACATGTTTCTGGTTTAGTTACTTCTGGTTTATTCAACAGAGATAGCTGTACAAAAACAAAGGGCAGGAGACGAGGGAAATACACAAAAGACACAAATCTAATTTTTAAAAATCATATTGTTAAATGAGACAAAATAGAATATTTAGTTGAAATTCATGCCAAAAGAAAAACAATTCATCTGGAAACAAAGGTATTTAAATTCAACAGAAATATAAATTATCTAAATGTAGGATTATAAACTGTCATGAACTAATTAGTAAAAATGAATTTGCTCGATATTTTTATTCTAGATAAAAAGTACTTCTAAATTTTAAATTATCCGTTTAGGATGAATGAACACATTCAACACAGTCAAAAATTGTCACATTAATTACTGATGCGGAGCAGTCTGGGAATTAAATTTAAACAATTTTGGGAGCAATAAATAAAACTCAAGAGGTTTGACCAGTGCCATAATTCATTCAAATAGTCATAGAAACTCATCACAGAGTGAGGTCTTATACTGCATTCACTTATCCAATAAATATTTAGTGCTTATTATGAGTAAGGCATTGCAGGCGATACAACGAAAAATAAAACATGGACTTTGCCCTCAAGGGGCTTACAGTCTAGTGTGGAAAAAATAAGCAAGCACATAAATAGCCATAACATAAGGTAGAAAGTGATGTGTCATAAGGAAAACTCAAATAATGTGCCATGGGAGCTATTAACTCTAGCAGATATTTTTTTATTATAATGTCTAAGCAGCCAACATAAATAGACCAATGATCAATTTGAAAATTAAGGTCTGAATTTTGTCAATCTATAGATGATTAAAAGCTTTAATATTAATGCAATTTAAGTCACTACCTACAATTTTCTTAAAATGTTTGAACATGGAGTGACAACCCATTAGAAATACCATTTTGACACTGTTCATAAGCAGATGCAAATGGAATAATCTAATAGGGCTGAAATGATGATTTTAATGTAATAAAGGCTCAAATCAATGATCCAAGATACTCATGACACATTACCTTCTTGCACAGAAAGTGGCTCGATCAGGTTAAAGTGATGAAGAATTCCTCGATGGCTCAAGTGTGCTCCAAGGAAAGCTAGAAGGTTGTACAGTTAACTCCCAGGGTGTAACTCTAAACCATACAACCTACTACCTCAACCCGGATGCACACAGCTTCCAAAGTTGCTTCAAACTCCTTATCATATCTTCAGTCAGCTCCTCCAAATATGGCAGCCATACACCTAAGGGCTTGGCAAGGATATAGATATAATATTCTAACATTTTACCAGTAAACTTTAACTCTTTCTCATAGGACTAACCTAAACACTTGGGTTTCCAGCGTAGGTCACGTAAAATGTCTTCTGACCATTTCGTCTGCCATAGTTCTACTAGCAATTAATAGTAAAAGTCAATTGCATTCAGCCTCATTTTTTCAGGAGAAATAGGCTCAATAAAATAATAGAAATCCAATGGTAGTCTTTAATTTCCTTACTGAAGTTGAAGAGTTACACTAAACACTACTGTATGCACTCAAGTTTCTGAACAGAATCTATTCAGATCCTGGTCCAAACCCTGCTATAAAGGTTCAACTTTCTTATGCAATTTACTGTACATGGAATCAAACTTGAATGGGTGTTCTATAAACACTTCCAAGTTGTAGAGAATTGAAGCCTGCCTTGTAAGACAGACAACGATTAAAATAAACATGAAAAACAAAGGAAAATATAATTACTTCAAAAGTATATAATCAACTGGAGTTTAACAGGATTTTACTGAACTATTATTGAACGGCACTGTGTATAGCATTTTGTCAGATTACCACACTGACACAGACCCATAGAAGCGAGCTTGTGCGGTCCACTTCACCACAAGATCGGATCTACGGGTTTATGCCAATGGGCAACATCTTGCATGGGCTCCCTATTAATATAAAATTTGTTGTGAATACCTGATGCAATTAAGAGACAAAAATAATATTGATCCTTTAGTGTAAATGTTTTAAATGCTGAATTCTAAGGATGCATATTCTCCATTAAAGGCCTTCATAAATATTCAAAACTAGATACAAATTTATATGCATGAGAATTTAAAAAGTAGTTTATTGAAACATTTTTCATGAACTGCTTTTGTTTCAAGAGTAAATATTTTGGAATTAAACTCTTTTAATTGATGATGAGTTTTAAAAGAAAAAGGAATCTATACATGCATGTATGAATTATGTAATTGTGAGGCATGAATGTAGTATTATGAGCCTATAATTAAAACCAAATTAACGATTAAGTTAATTGTGTATGAGTTAGACTGTGCTTATTTTAATTTTTATACAACTAGTCTAGTTAGTGGTTTCAAGGAATTGGTAACATTATAACTTTCTCATAAAACAAGTAAGATCTTGTTCACTAGGTAGAGAATACAGGAAGTTATTATCAGCCTTAAATAATATACATCTGTGTCTATAGTTGGAATGGTGCTAAAATTTACAATATTTGAGTGAGTTAATATAAAACTAGACTAAATGGCACGATAATGGCATGATTACTAATACTCCACACTAATACTCCAGATGTATTACATGACATAGGCTATCTTCTTTCCTAAATAAAATATATTTAAACTTACTGTTCAAAAAAGATACACTTAAAATACATGGCTACATATAACTCTCATCTGGTCAACAGGTTGGGCAAAAATAAAATATTACTAAAACATGTTTTAAACCACTAGACAACAAGCAAACACACAAACGAGTAAACATAAAACCAGCCACATACACTATTTTTTAAGATTCTAAACTGAACTGCAACAAATGATAAGTTGTACAATCATTAATCATTTCACATCTATAATCATTTAGCATTTCCTAATTATATCTTTATTGTGTAAAATAATACTACATACTAATTGCTTAGTGATTTTGCATATTTTGAAATAAATGTTTTATAGCCTTTATATAGATAATGTGTTCTACATAATTTTTAACCATTATTTATTCTTAAATTGTCCTCATAATTATTAAAAACTACAGTAAATAATCAACAATCATACATTCAGTTGTAGTAAAAATATTTCAACATATATTTATAAATGCAAATGTGAAATAAGAGGCAGCATTGGGTTTAGTTTTACCATAACTATAAGAAAGCATGTTTTGGTTTCATTGTCTTATTAGGTCATGTAAAAAAGATGAAAAAACATGACCTTATTCCCCTCCTCCTGATTTCACTTCCTTTTATATGGTACAACAAATAAGAAAACATAATTTTTTCTTTTCCTAAATAGCTTTCTAGTAAACCGTATTGCACCTATCTTAAGCGTATGGATACACAGACATATATTCAATGGGACACAAACTGTCCAATTGACCACAAGAAATTTTTCACAAAGGCAGGTCATAGCACACATTTTCAAATGAAAACCATCAATAAAATTTCAACAGCTAGACTCATAAAGAATATGAAATGAATTCTTATAACAAAACACAGTCAAATAATGTTGTTTTTCTTTAAAAATATTAAATATTAATTGCTCTTTGTTTTTTATTTTTACCTGAAATGGTTTTCTCCTATGATCACTTTCTTCACTTTTCATATCCATTTTAAGTTTTTCCCTAAAACAACCACAAAAGGAGAAATATCAGACAACTGCTGTCTAGGAGGAGCATCTGAATGGATAGTGGGAATGAGGGTAGACGATCGAGAAGAAAACTCGATATCAAAATGGGCAAAACCTTTTAAAGTATTTTTTTTTTTAAAGGCTTGGAAGACTCATAAGGCCCCACCCCGGCTACTCATATGACATATAAAGTGGTTTCATAGTTTGCATTTATGCGTTCGTTTTGGTTGGTGTTGTTTTCACAGTAACAGTTTTGAAAGTGAAAGGACGATGGTTGTTAAAGAAGCGACTAGGTTTTGCACAATGAAGTGAAAGCTGAAAAGAGATTTGGATTTGGCATGGAGCTTAATAAGATAATTAAGAGTGTAGAGATTAATGGCTGCTAAAAATAACATTTAAAATAATGTTTTTAAACTAAAGGATCTTGAAACATGGAAACAGGTTTATCAATATTAATTAAGCCTGTGAAAGTTGGTGTACCATTAGCTGAGACAGCATGGAGGAACGAGAGCTATTTTGTAAATAATTAGTGAACAATAATCAACAAAACGTTTTATTTGAATGTTATCAGTATATAGGGATTGTGCAATTTCCTGTAATTGTTCATAGAATAGCAAACACAAAGGCAGAATTAATCAGTTCTAGATTTCTCATTGTTTGCCCTACATATTTTTAATATGATAAAATATGATTTTAAAAGCATAACAGATTATCAAAGCATATTTTTATCAAATATTATAACATCAATTATTAGTATGCAAATTATAGTTTTCATTGGTATATGTTAAATTTTTCAAAAGCATTCTCTTTTAAAAATTATTTTTACACTTGTTTAGAAACATTTTTTATCAAAACTAAAATAGCTGGAAGGCATCTGCTAATCCTTTCACACTGAACCAGGCAAAACTGTTTTTTTAATAAAATGCTTAAATTGCTTAGCAATTTACTTCTAGAAACAGACAAAATAATTACAATGCAATGCAGTTATCTGCTGAGCCAATACATTGCTCTGAACTTAAAACAAGTTTGTATGTACTTTTTCTACTCATATACTTGATATTTCCAATGCGTTTTGCAACTGCTCTAGGACAAGTACTTCTTTTAAAATGTATTTTAAAAGAGCTTATTATTATGAAAGAAGCTTGTTTTCTACCTAGCAAATGAGAACATGCTCTTTTCATTCCTATTTTTGTTCTACTGAAATCTCTGTAAATAATTTGAATATAACTTCCCCAAAAGTAATCTGATTTATCAGTAATTTAATGCATATTCTAATATAACCCTTTTCTACTAGTTTAAAAAGTTTCTTCTTTCACATTTCAAATTATAAGTCACATTAAAGATTTACTTTTTTTACCCACTAGGTCTAAACATTCACTTTTCTTAGATAGCAAAAACTAATACTGGACACAAAAAGCACAGATATATTAATGCCTTTCCAAAACTTCTGTGTATACCGCACATAAAAACTTGTATTGTCTTTTTCATAGAGATTTTTCCATCTTTACTTAAGTTTCTATTCTAATCAAAATTAGAGCAAGAGAGGAAAAGGAAAAAGTTAATAAGAGTAAAGTGGGCTATGAGTTACATCAGAGTAAACTGAAAGTTCAAGGATCCCCTTTTATATAACAGTAGCCTTTAAAAGAAAAAACAACAAAAAAAGTTATACCTGATATGAAAGGTGCGATTTCACCAAGTGCAATATATTGCTAATTATGCCATATTGTTTGAAATAATAAAAATAAAGAAGGCTCATTTGGCTATGTTGCCTTAAAAAGCTGCTTTACAAAGCCCGATGTCTCTGTAGTTATACAGCCAATGTTTGCCTTTTTTTGGTTTGTTTTGGTTTGGATTTTTGTTTGTTTGCTTTTGTTTTTGTTTTTGAGCAGGAACGTCTCTTTTTTTTTTTTTTTTTTTTCAGCACTCTTGCATGTAGTAGGACACACTCAGATTTTTTCTTCAAGGGCGCCTGTAATTTCTTAGAAAAGGACCAGGGTGCTTGTCTTCTTTTTCTTCCTTCTCGGTATTCCAGGCACAAAGCACTGCGCAGAAGCTACACCAATCCTTGCCGTCACTGGCAGCAGAATGGTAGAAGGTGGGAGAGACCAGGAATCCTTCCAGGCTGTGCTGACTTTAGAAATGAGGATTGCACACGTTTGTCTCCTGAACCAAAGGGGTGCAAAGGCAGGGTGCCAGCTTGCTACACTGCTGCAATGCAATGATCTCATGCTCACTGGTGCTGTCGTCCTGTTTGCCCAGTTCAAATGCCTGTTCATTTTAAACCAAAAAAAAAAAACAAAAAAACCAAAAAAGACCCAACTACTTGTATTCTTCTACAAGCAGAAACGGTAGTAACCTAAAATAATAATAATAATAATAAAAATAATAAATAAATAAAAAATAAAAAATAAAAATCAGCAGTCAGAAAAGGCAAAAAAAAAAAGCACATACAATTTTGGAATTCACTTGTTATGCCTCAATATTCTATTATTATTTTCTTTTCTTTTTTTTCTATTTAGAGATAAGCAGCAGAATTTATCAGGCGTGAAAGGGACAGCCTCCTGGTGGCCTGCCAAAAACCCAGAATAAAGGCGAAGTTGTGCTTCAAAGCTCAGTCGCTTGCTGAGTCTGGCTAAAGTCAAGTATTAAGATCCACCATTTTCTGAGCCATGTTAGAAAAGAAGAAAAAAGTCAGGACGGTTGCTGCTTTCCAAGTCTCCGTTGGCACCATCACAAAATCTCAGTCGTAAGGTCACATGATTCTCTGCCAAATGTAGAGTGCATTCCCATCAACCATTCTGCTGATACTGCGAAGGCAGCTATTGTCTCGTTTAGACCCAAAGTTCAGCCCACTCTTCATTGAATTAGCTGAAAAACGCATCACCTTTGGGGGCTGGGAGTCATGGAAACGTCTACCTGGCAAGCTGCCCACTTTTTCTGCCCATCAACCAGAGATGGAATTGTGCTGCCTAACGCAATGATGACTTGGAATGTGAAGAGTCGTCCAAAGTGAATCTGATTCTTGCAACGCCTGTTTCGTTTGCACAGAAAACTCTGGCTTCTTGTAGTTAAGAGGGGGAAAAAAAAATCTTTCCTACCAAATGTAGCAAATAAAGGTCTGAACATGCCTACTCTGCAACTTTTTTTCTCAACACACCCAAATGGTTCTCAAATGAAAAGACTGAAAGCCCTTCAAGTTTTCTGAGTTAAAGGCATCCCTTCATCTGTCTCCTTTTCCTTACAAGTGAATGAAACAAGCCCAGAACATTTGTTTTCGTCTCTCACTTTAAGATTTAAAAAAACTCTGAGTTTTTCTTCTTGCTTTTTGCTACTTTCTGATTTTATCTGGCAGTGATTTTGTACTACATGGTCACAACGTCTTCCAGCAACAGTGGGGATGCACTAAGCTGCAATCTTCAACAAAGTGTTCCCCTGAGAAAGCCAGTTGTCTCTTTAGCCACATAAAACCCTGCAACTGGGTCTGTAGTAATCCTCATCAGTACCTAGCACAGCTGCTGTGCAAGTTTTTTGAGATTGACATATGTGAGAAGGGCTCTTTCTGTTTCTTCGCTGGCTACAGTTTGCCCGTGTGGCATGAAAGATGCCTTTGAAAGATGCAGGGACTGTGTCAACAGCTCTTAGGTAGTAAAACGACATGGTACCCCCTCCCCAATGAATTTCCATTCTAGCAGGCAGTGAAAGTTCCCATGTACGAACATTTCTACACTTTCTAACTAAAGTAGAGTGAATTCAATTTTTCACAATTTCCTTAAGCAGAATTTAAAGCCAAGCAGGAAAGCAAGCATTATTAGTACTGAAACAGCATACTGAGTGGCACTAAAAAGAACCATGTCCTTTAACCTTGTTTTTTAAAAACGTTGCAATAGTTGGAGAATATCTAAAGTATGATTATGTTTGCAAAAAATTTAACATTATATTCAGTGCCTTCCCAAAATGATGGATTAATGTTGCCCCTTTTCCATGTATAAACACATACGCCACACAATACATAACAATGACTTTCAAAGATAATCAAACTGTGACTTGTCTAATAGAAAAGAATCTGAAAAAGGATTCAGGCATCTAGGAAACATAACTAAAAATGGTTTGTGGCTGTTTTTGCGCCATGTCGTTCAGGTGACTTACTTTAGTAACGATAGGAGTGAATGTGCACGTACCCGTACACACATGTGAGAACCATCATGTTGTTCTTCCTATTTGTAATTCAAAATAATGCAATTCTAAACCATAAACTAAAAATTTACACATGGGCCTGAAATTAAAATTGCCTTTTTTCTAGATTGCAAAATTCTGGAGAAATCTGCTAGTGTCCTAGGCACATGTTTAAAGAGTGCTTAGTTGGAACTTAAGTCCCATGCTTCAGCAAAACAAGAAAGTAGATGATGCACTCATTTACATAAAAATTTAAATTTCCAGTTCTCATTCACTTATTCAGCAGATTATTTATTAAGTCCTAGTATGTGCCAGGCCTTCTGACAGGCATAGGGGAGGATCAGTGAAGGAAATTGACATGTTCCCAGGTGGTAGTCATTCGGTAAGTACTTTTAAGTGAGAAAAGCTCACTACTAAACAGAGATGTTGCAGGTCCTAAAGGAGACAAACTTGTCAAGAAACAAACCGATGGAAATTGGAAAGTGGAAGTAAAATGGATATTAAAAAATAAATTACAGATAGAGATATTTTCTCTGTCTGAAGGTTTCCTTTTTAACACTAAATTCGTGATTAGTTTTGTATAATTCTGCTGAACTTTCTGAAAGAATCTGATGTGAAAATTGTATGCTGCCTTCCCAGTTAAAAACAATTTTTAAAAAGAAACAAAGTAATGGGAGACTTTCACTTCTAGAAAGATGGAGTAGACATAGTTTTTTCTAACCCCCCTGCTAGGTACAATTAAAATCCTTCCTCATTACATATCAAACAAATTGAAGGAGACTCTGAAAAGCTGAGAGAAGATGAAAAACTAGCTAGAGACTGAAGGACTCAAGGAATGACATGGATTTTTAATTTTTACCTTATACATCAAAACTTTGGAACTGAAGAAGCCTGCAACCCAGAAATGCCAACTGGTTCAGACAAAAAAACAAAGTTCCAACAAAAGGCTGTTCTCTCTAGTCAAAGGAACAAGAAAGGGGCAGCCTAGAAAGACAGAAAGCAATACCATTTTGCTCTAGTTGAATACCACAAAAATAATTATGGTCCCATCCCCATGGACACCCGCAAAGGCAAAGTGGCAAGCCCAGACGCTGATCCTTGCCAGGATATTCCAACACCCTCTCCTTCCAGCCCCCAGAGCAGTGTAAAACAAGTCTGAGCAAGAATCTAAAAGTTTCATCCCTGTCGGGGGTTAGCAAGATTCCTCTCTTACCCTACATGCAGTGTCTATGTTGACTAAATGGACAGTCTGGACTTCCACCCCAAACCCAGCAATAATGAGGTATCCATCTCCCTCTCCACTGAGGTTGTATGAGAGAAGGTTTGGTGGAGATTGAGAACATTCAAAACTGTCCAGCTGTAACAAGGCTACCCTGCTATCCCTCAACTTCTAAAGCACTGGTGAAGACCACAATAAGAGCAGCAATAAACCGCTCCATTTTTCCATTTTTCCTAGCCAGGAAGCTATCAGTGGAGGTCAGTTTGGTAGCAGAAACCAATGGAGGTTCACTGAAGAGCAGGAGCTACTTCTATCCATATCTGGCAGTAACAAGGCAGCACACCCCCTTTTCCCGGCTGGAGTGGTGTAAGAAGAAGCCAGATAAAACACAAGGTTTAAATAAGAACTAGAGCCTCATACATAATACCTAAGATGTCCAGGTTTCAACTGAAAATCATTTGTCACACAAAGCAAAAAGAAGATCTCAAACTGAATTTTTACAAGGCTATTCATACACGTGAATATTGAGATGACAGAGATGTTAGAATTATCTGACAAAGATTTTAAAGCAGCTGTCATGAAAATGCTCCAAGGGGCAATTATAAACATGGTTGAAACAAATACAAAAGGTAAGAGTTTTGACAAAGAAACAGAAGATACAAAGAATAATCAGATAAAAATTTTAGAACTGAAAAATAAAACAACTGAAATTATCAAAAACTAAAAGGATGTACTTGACAGCAGAGTGGAGAAGGCAGAAGAAAGAATCAGTGAACTGGAAGGAAGAATAATAGAAATAACTTAATCTGAACAACAGAAATAAACTATATTTAAAAACAGAGACTTAGGCAACTGTGAAACTATAACAAAAAATAAAACATTTGTATCTGTGTCACTAGAATCCCAGAAAGAGAGGAGATAAAGGGCAATGCTTAAAATATCCTCAAAGAAATAGTGGCTGTAGTGGCTGGAAACTTCCAAAATATAGCAAAAAGGACACAGATTCAAGAAGCTGAACAAACCACAAACAGAAAAAAAAACAAAGAAATTTATACCAAAGCATATCATGGTCAAACTTACAAACACTTAAAGAAAAAAATCTTGAAAAGAGCAGGAAAAAAATCACAGTCTAATCTATAGAGGAAAAATGATTCAGAGAGTGTGTTTCCCATCAGAAACCATAAAGACCAAAAGGAAAGGACATGACCGTTTCACTAGCTGAAAGAAAAGAACTATCAACCTAGAGTTTGATATCCATAGAAAATATCCTTTAGAAATGAAGGGGAAAGGAAAACACTGTTAGATAAAGAAAACTAGAATAATTTTCAACTAGCAGGCCTAACATGACAGAACGGTTAAGGAAGTTGTCTAAACAGAATGGAAAAGACAGAAGAGGGAATCTTGGAAGTTTAGAAAGAAAGAAAGAATTTAGTACATACAAATATGGATAAATAGAATAGACTTTCCTTTTCTGGAGTTTTCCAAATTATATTTGATTGTGGAAACAGAAATAGAACACTGTTATATTTCTAAATGCATGTGGAGGAAATATCTAAGACAATTTATTATAAGAGTGAAGGTACAAAAGTAGGTAAGATTTTTTAACTGCTTCGAATGGTAAAATGAGGATACCAGTAGACTGTGATAAGTTATGTATAGGTAACATAATACATAAAGCAACCACTAAAAAATTACATAACGTCCTTTGCCCACTTTTTGATGGGGTTGTTTGTTTTTTTCTTGTAAATTTGTTTGAGTTCTTTGTAGGTTCTGGATATTAGCCCTTTGTCAGATGAGTAGATTGCAAAAATTTTCTCCCATTCTGTAGGTTGCCTGTTCACTCTGATGGTAGTTTCTTTTGCTGTGCAGAAGCTCTTTAGTTAAATGAGATCCCATTTGTCAATTTTGGCTTTTGTTGCTGTTGCTTTTGGTGTTTTAGACATGAAGTCTTTGCCCATGCCTATGTCCTGAATGGTACTACCTAGGTTTTCCTCTAGGATTTTTATGGTATTAGGTCTAACATTTAAGTCTCTAATCCATCTTGAATTAATTTTCGTATAAGGAGTAAGGAAAGGATCCAGTTTCAGCTTTCTACTTATGGCTAGCCAATTTTCCCAGCACCATTTATTAAATAGGGAATCCTTTCCCCATTTCTTGTTTCTCTCAGGTTTGTCAAAGATCAGATGGCTGTAGATGTGTGGTATTATTTCTGAGGACTCTGTTCTGTTCCATTGGTCTATATCTCTGTTTTGGTACCAGTACCATGCTGTTTTGGTTACTGTAGCCTTGTAGTATAGTTTGAAGTCAGGTAGCGTGATGCCTCCAGCTTTGTTCTTTTGACTTAGGATTGTCTTGGAGATGCGGGCTCTTTTTTGGTTCCATATGAACTTTAAAGCAGTTTTTTCCAATTCTGTGAAGAAACTCATTGGTAGCTTGATGGGGATGGCATTGAATCTATAAATTACCTTGGGCAGTATGGCCATTTTCACGATATTAATTCTTCCTATCCATGAGCATGGTATGTTCTTCCATTTGTTTGTGAACAGACATTTCTCAAAAGAAGACATTCATACAGCCAACAGACACATGAAAAAATGCTCATCATCACTGGCCATCAGAGAAATGCAAATCAAAACCACAATGAGATACCATCTCACACCAGTTAGAATGGCGATCATTAAAAAGTCAGGAAACAACAGGTGCTGGAGAGGATGTGGAGAAATAGGAACACTTTTACACTGTTGGTGGGATTGTAAACTAGTTCAACCATTGTGGAAAACAGTATGGCGATTCCTCAAGGATCTAGAACTAGATGTACCATATGACCCAGCCATCCCATTACTGGGTATATACCCAAAGGATTATAAATTATGCTGCTATAAAGACACATGCACACGTATGTTTATTGCAGCACTATTCACAATAGCAAAGACTTGGAATCAACCCAAATGTCCATCAGTGACAGATTGGATTAAGAAAATGTGGCACATATACACCATGGAATACTATGCAGCCATAAAAAAGGATGAGTTTGTGTCCTTTGTAGGGACATGGATGCAGCTGGAAACCATCATTCTTAGCAAACTATCACAAGGACAGAAAACCAAACACCGCATGTTCTCACTCATAGGTGGGAACTGAACAATGAGATCACTTGGACTCAGGAAGGGGAACATCACACACCGGGGCCTATCATGGGGAGGGGGGAGGGGGGAGGGAGTGCATTGGGAGTTATACCTGATGTAAATGACGAGTTGATGGGTGCAGCACACCAACATGGCACAAGTATACATATGTAACAAACCTGCATGTTATGCACATGTACCCTACAACTTAAAGTATAATAATAATAAATAAATTAAAAAAAATTACATAACGAAATTTAGTAAAAAAAAAAAAAACTCTAGATATGTCAAAATTCTAAAAATGTTAAAATTTATTCAAGTAACCCACAAAAAGGCAGGAGAAAAAAAACTCAGAGAAATAAAAAACAGAAAGAACAAACAGAAAAGAAATATTTAAATGGCAGGCTTAAGTCATATAAATAAATTTTTGAAATAAATGTGAAATGTTTGAATATACCAATGAAATGGCAGAGATTTGCATAGTGGATTTAAAACCTATGGCCCAATTATATGCTGTCTACAATGAACATTTAAATATAATGATATAAACAGATTGAAAGTAAAATGATTAAAGTAAGTATATTAGTTAAACATTAGAAAAGAAAACAGGAGTGTCTTTAATAATATCAAATAAAATAGACTTCCAAGGACAGAAAATTACCAGAGACAAAGGTAGACATTACACAATGATAAAACAATCCAACAAGAGGACATAGCATCTTTGAATGTGTATGCATCAAAACAAAGCTGCAGAATATGTAAAGTATGAAATAGAAAAGAGAAACTGACAAGTTCACATTTATTTATTTTTATTTTTATTTTTTTGAGATGGAGTCTCACTGTCACCCAGGCTGGAGCGCAGTAGTGCAATCTTGGCTCACTGCAACCTCTACTTCCCAGGTTCAAGAATACTCCTGCCTCAACCTCCTGAGTAGCTAGGATTACAGGTGTACATCATCACACCTGGTAAATTTTTGTATTTTTGGTAGAGACGGGGTTTCAACATGTTGGTCAGGCTGGTCTCAAAGTCCTGACCTCGTGATCCCCCTGCCTTGGCCTCCCAAAGTGCTGGGATTACAGGCGTGAGCCACTGTGCCTGGCCGACAAGTTCATATTTATAGTTGTATACTTTGACACACATCTTCCAATAATGGACAGAACAATTAAACAGACAATTATCAAGGATACAGAATCCAACAAATCATTCATCAACAGAATCTAGTTGACATTTATTAAGCATACCACCCAACCACAGAAGAATCCACATTTTCAAGTACCCACGAACACACTCCAAGATAGGTCACATTCTATAGCACGTAAAGCACATCTCAACAAATTAAAGATAACTGAAATCATACAGAAGGTGTTTTTGGACCACAATATAATCAAAATAGTAATCAATAACAGAAAGATAACAGGAAAATCTCCAAACACTTGGAAACTAATTAACATTCTCCTAAATAATTAAGGAGCCAAGAGGAAGTCTCAAGTGAAAGAAAAATACATTGGAGTGAATGAAAATGAAAATACAACATATTAAAATGTGTGGGACACAGCTACATTAGTGCTCCCAGTGAAAGTAATAGCAATAAATGCATCAGCTAGAAAAGAGAAAAGGCCTCAAAACTATACTCAAACGTCTAATGTCAAAAAACAAGAGAAAGAAGAGCATAATCAACCTAAAGCAGAAGAGAAAGAAAATAAGAGCACAAGTACACAAAAAAGAAAACAGAAGAACAGGGAAAAATCAATGAAAAAATGTGTATTTGAAAAGATTACTAAAATTGTCATCCCCTCAGCAAGACTGAGAAATAAAAGAAGAATATACCAATTATCAATATCAGAAATGAAACAGGGGATATCACTACACACAGCAAAAGATAATAAGGGAACACTTCAAACTACACTAAACACATAAATTGGATACCTTAGATGAAATGAACCAATTCTTTAAAAACACATATTACCACAACTCACTCAATATGAATTAGATCACTTGATTGATCCCTATAATGAGCCGTGAAATGAGTCCTATAATTGTTAAGAAAACTGAAGGCCAGGCATGGTGGCTCATGTCTGTCATCCCAGGGCTTTGGGAGGCTAAGGCAGGAGGATCACTTCAGGCCAGGAGTTTGAGACCAGGCTGGGCAACATAGTGAGACATGATCTCTACAAAAAAACTTAAAAATTAGCTAGTTGTGATGGTGCACACCTGTAATCCTACCTAATTAGGAGGCTGAGGTGGGAGGATGGCTTGGGCCCCAGAGTTTGAGGCTGCAGTAGGCTATGACCATGCCACTTCACTCCAGCATGGGTGACAAAGCAAGATCCTGTCTCTATTTTTAAAAAAGAAAGAGAGATTGAATATGTAGTTTAACAACTCTCTCAAAAAGAAATATCCAGGCCCAGATAATCTAACTGGATAATTGTAACAAATATTGAAAGGTTTTTTTTTTTTTTTTTTTTTTTTTTTTAGGTGGAGTTTTGCTCTTGTTGCCCAGGCTGGAGTGCAATGGCGTGATTTTGGCTCACTGCAACCTCCACCCCCTGGGTTCAAGTGATACTCCAGCCTCAGCCTCCCTAGTAGCCGGGATTACAGGTGCCCACCACTACGCCAAGCTAATTTTTGCCTGGCCATTATTGAAAGTTTTAACACCAATTCTACACAAACTTTTTGAGAAAATAGAGGAAGAGGGAACATTTCTCAGTTTATTTTATGAAATTGACATTATCCTGATATTTAAATCAGACAAGACAGTGTAAGAGGAGGAATCTATAGACCAATGTTTCTCGTGAATATGGACACAAAATTTCTTAACAAAATATTAACAAATAAAATTCATCAATATATAAAAATGAATTATATTAGGTGAGTGCATTGTTGGAATTTGCCATTTGTATTGAAATACATTCTTTGCCGGGTGCGGTGGCTCAAGCCTGTCATCCCAGCACTTTGGGAGGCTGAGGCGGGCAAATCACGAGGTCAGGAGATCGAGACCATCCTGGCCAACATGGTAAAACCCCATCTCTACTAAAAAAACCAAAAAATTACAAAAAATTAGCCAGGCGTGGTGGTGGGTGCCTGTAGTTCTAGCTACTCAGGAGGCTGAGGCAGGAGAATAGCGTGAACCCGGGAGGCAGAGCTTGCAGTGACTGAGATAACGCTACTGCACTCCAGCCTGTGTAACAGAGCAAGACTCTGCTTCAAAAAAAAAAAGAAAAAAAAAGAGAAATACATTCTTAAATAAATAAATGTGGTTATGTTATACATCATTTTAATGGGCATTTCTCACTTTGTGGTTTTTGCTAATGACTTATTACTTGCTGTTTATTTTACATTTATTTTAGACTATGGAAATAACCTTAACCAACAAGCAAATTCAAGCGATTTTCTTATTTGAGTTCAAACTGGGTAATACATCGACAACAACAACTCATTTGGCCCAGGAACTGCTGATGAGCCTACAGTACAGTGGTGGTTCAAGAAGTTTTGCAAAGGAGACAAGAGCCTTGACGATGAGGAGCATATTGGCTGGCCATTGGGAATTAACAATGACTGACTGAGAAGCTGATCCTCTTACAACTACA